GCAAACATTTTACTATAACTTAAGCTGAAGCTAACTATAAGATATATCTGAAATAAATAAGTGTACTGAAACAAATACCAATAACTGTATTGCATTGTTTTCTTATGCGCAATTACTTCATACTTTCTAGTTCTCTTTTTCGTCCTGCATTTATTGTGCCCCCCTCAGAAAATAACGGGCCCCCCAGTGGCCCCCCCAGTCAAATTGGTCTAGAACCGCCACTGCCGACCGGCCCACATCGTCCGACTGGCCCACTTCGGCACCGGCCCATCGGGATTCGTCCCGATGGGCAGTCCACCACTGGCTCTGAGTGTTAGCGATGCTAATGTATACACCGACCATATTACGTCCAAAACAGTCGGGCATTGTTTCTGATAGCAACTTTCTGATAGGGCCGTGGGTCCACATGTCCGATATTATGCCATATTGGACGCAAATCTGGATCAGCTCCGTTGTACCCCCGTTTTTAGAGATTTGGGTACGGAGGAAAAAAGAGAGGGTTTTATCTTCTGACGCTGCGTGAGTTCCCTGACACACCATGGACACATATTTATGTATAAAAGACGTTTTGCATGATGGGTAACCTTTAAAGAGCAACAGGGTGTTCAGGGGGTCGATTCTCATGATCACATGACACACCGCTGAGGGGTCAGAGGTTAGGTCATGGGGGTCTTGTAATTAGCCTGTCTACCAACCAACCATGTCTCATAGGAAAGGTACCATTTATGGCATCTCACCCCTGACCTATAGCTCCTAGTCTCTAAAATATCCCCACGAAGTCAGTGGTACACGGTGTACCGGAAAGTGAATACCAACCAATACCTCAATAGGATCATTCAGTCTACAGTTTCCTGTGTTCACACAAATCTGTGTTAACACAATTACACCTGAAACGATTGGTTGATTCGTTGTTAATTTCATCAACATCTATTTTTATAATCAATTCATTGTTTCAAGGGCAATTCAGTATTGCTCTCTCAGGACATTGGGGGGAAATATAGACATATTTTAGTGCCTAGTATGGGTCACTTCCACTCTTGAGAGTATCTTTCATCAGAAGAAAAAAACAATAAAACACTACTAATACAACTAAAAACAATCCTTCTGCCTGCTTAATGGCTGTCATTTAATTCCAACCCTGATCTGACAGCAGTTTTCCCTCAAACACATCTGTTAGGGGAAAAAGTGGAAGAATATTCCACCTCAGATAAATCATTAGAGGTTGAAAGTGGGTGTGAACGTATTATGTATAGCATGCAGCTGTTTAACAAGTAAAAGCCTGTGCAGAGTGTTCAGCTGGAGTGCTCCATACATCTACTGTTGAAGCCCTCGGGGGCAGCGACAGAAGCTTGCTTCAGAAATGTGACCACACTGGTTCTTGTCAGCAGTGCTTCAGAGCGCAAAGCTGGATGCCTATGGAGAGAAAATAGAACACAGCCCTGTATATGCTCGTAGACAACTAACAGAGGCACATAGAGACAGAAAAACACACACACTCACAAACTAGTAAATGTGTTTCTCTCCATTTATGTAACTTGTTTGAAAAGTAGAACCTTGACCTCTGAATCACCTTTCAGTGAACACCAGAGCGACAGACCTGCCACCTCCAAGTGTGACTGTGTTCATGTGGGTGTTGGATATCAGTTAATTGCAGGGCATGTTCCCCTTTCTTTTAATCTGATGCGCACACACACAAAGTTAATAATAGGGCTGAACCCTGCAAGACTGGTTCATCTCTGCTTTATTGTAATGGGTAAAAGGAATACACCTTAAGCTTTACCTTTCACCTGAGAGCTTGCTGTTGAGATGCACTGACAGTTTGGCTCCAAGCCTTACATAATGGCTTGTTTTGTTTGTGTTAGTTCATTCTAGGGTTAAACTAAATGTGAAGGTGTGCTGTGATGGTAAAAGGCTGGTAGGCAGATGGTTCTGTGGGAATGCTTCTTCTCAATATCTTGAATAAATGTTTTCTATTAAAAAAAACGAAATACTGAGGCACTACCAGAATTAGTTCAACCTTAACATTTTTTACCTGCGAATTGACTCTGTTGTGGGCAAAATTATAAATCTTACTAAACAGTGTCTATCACATACTTAAATAGGGATATACTGAATACTCAAAAGTCAGATATTAAATTCACGGATGACCTTTTCACCTGATGTTCTATCAGCTACATATTACTAGTCTTAAGTCTTTTTCATTGTATTTTTTTCAATGCTTTTATACCAAGCTGTGTTGGACTCTCCTGCTGTCACAGCTTCTCTCCCTCACTGTCAGCATCATCGGTAAGTCTCTATTATTCATCACCTTCACTCCCGGGCTATTTATACCAGCTTTTACAGTCAGTCTGTCTTTCCGCTCTGCTGGCTGCATCTGTCTACACTAATACAGCTATTTCACCGTGTATCTGCAGTTTTGGGCAGCCTATAAGTTCTAGGCCTGGAATAAAATCACAGGTGCCTCAAGCACAGTGGAAAGATATATGCAAACACTCGGTTCCATGCATAAAGGCTAATACATTCCGATACATCAAACCAAGACACTATGTTTTTCTCTGTAAAATGTTAGTTAACATTATAGTGCAATAACCCTTAAAATCATCAATTACCCTGATGAATAACACCTGTGACTTTCAGTGAAAAAAACTACTGGTGTTCATTTTACAAATCAATAAGTTATGGTTCACTGTTTTTTATTCAACAATGGCACCGACTGCTGCCTGACTGCCTTTGAATCTGAATTAAGAGCAGATGATTTACTGAAAGCAGAGAAAGACACATCCTATGTGCTAATAGATTTCCACGCATATGCGATTATTCCTCTGAGCGCTTTCAGAGCTAAACATGTAATATATGAATTTAAACTGCACACAACTCAGCTGCTTGCATCAGTATTGCCCTCTGAGGTATTAAACACATTGAATGCCGTCCAATATCTCATTTCCCCAGGGAAAAGAGCAGAGAGTGCCAAGTCACTTCACATGGGAGCATCCGCCATTCAGAAGCAAATCTTTCAGAGAATGTCATTTCTGCATGCCATGTGCAGGCAATATGTAGGAAGGGATGTGTAGCTGTATGGAGAGGGGGGGGTGTTACTGTGTGTGTGCTGGTCATTGCAAGGCACAGCTGTTCAGTTTAATATCATGGATGTAGACCAAGATTCCAATTTCAAGCCAAAAGGTCTGATCACAAACTGTTATTTATATTTCAGGAGGCCCTGGCCAGCCTGAGATGTTCCTGAAATGTAATGTTTTTATGTAAGCGCAACAGTAATCAATAATTAAAAAGTAATAATAGTTTCCAGTGCAGAGTAGTAACGCCTGGGTGTGCTGTGATGACAAAAAACTATTTCAGAAGCAATAAATGTCTACAGCAACTGGTAGACATGGCACACACCTACAAGGTTATGGTTAGCAAAATATCCCAAGAATATGTTTCTTTAATCGTGATGGAGAAGAGAGTGTGATCTGTTTATTCTGTGATGGTCCATCAGACCTGTTATTACAATATACGTTTTCAAAACTAGCATTGCCCTCTAGAGGACGATGCAGCATAATACAGTCCAGATAAAAGCTCATAATGTTGTTGCTACCAGGAGGTCCCAGAAACTCCCTGCCTCAGAAACTAGGGCTAGATTCAGTAACATGCATCATTAAAAAATCTACTAAAACTTACTTATATTTCATGCCATTTACGTATTTGTATTTGATTGCCTTTGGAACCGTTTCATTAGGCCAACATGTGCAGGGTACATAACCGAGTTTTGTGTTGGATCTGTATTGAGAAAAATGTGTCTTACAACATTTCTAACATTTGTTTCTTACCTGTACCCCGCCATGTTCTCCACTGCGCAGCATGATGACATCTATCATCGGCGGCCTCACGTGAACTCAGCCATAATCTAATGAAGTGTCTGTAGAATTGTAAATTAGGCATTGCATTTCAAGCGTTCATTGTCAGCACATGGGACCTCACTTTAAAATTAATTGTGCTTTTCATTGTTCATTCAATTTTACTAGAAATTCAACTACGTGTATTTTCAATTACTTGCTAGTGTTAGCCAAGTAATTGAAAAAAGTACCTATCACTCACTGGGGAAGTAGTGCAAATACTGGACACTAATGTTACAATGTTCCATATGAATAGGCAGGCCTAGTCCAGGTGTATTTACTACACAAAATGAAAGGCAGTTTTAAATAGCAGCTAACCAACACACACACAAAACGGTGAAGAGCTAGCAGCTAAGTAGGTTTAACAAAATGTATACATGTGCAAAAGCTAACACGATTTACCTGAAACAAGTAATCCTCCGGTTTTTAATATTTCTAGACCGCCCTCTGTATAACATGTCAAGACCGGTGTTAAACCCATTTAATCCTTCTGAGAAACGGGTACTTTACTGAGCTTTGAGGTGGGTCGCACCGACTAAAACCTGCCTCAAGGTTTCCGTCAGATACATGTGCACAGTCCACCAAACATGGCTACATCAAGTACTTCGTTATACCATGCTGCGGGTATGTTTTTAGGCTTGTGTGTGGCAGTGATATAATATATAGCTTAGTTTTGCAAAAGTGCCTTGTAAGCACATGAACTGAATATATGGTGTTAGGTCAAGACAGGGCTGCAATTAAATAATGCATAATATGTTGTTGGTTTTTTTAGAGTAAATTCACATAACAAATGTGTGTAATGAAATTACACAAAGCAAATGAAGGCCACAAGAATACATTTTCCTATCACTAAACTATATCAAAAGCTAACCAACAGGTGTAACTACTAATGACACCAACGATAATTCAGCTGGGTCAGCCAATCCATTGAGAAAGCATAGCATGGCCCAGGGCTAGCTCACTTAAAACGGCTCGCCCATGTTTTTATTAATAGTTACACCTTTAATCAACCAGACTGTCAACTTTATAGTTGTTGTACGGACAGTCAAGTATCTACACACACACATCTCAAACTGGAGGAATTAATACACATGATCCAGATAAACCGACCAACTTTGTAAATATATTTTTATTACTTGTGAGTTACCAATTCTTTGGGACCACAACTTATGACATATAAACCCATACATACAATTGACATGAGGATGGGACATGGTTAAGCATGGCTTATCTATTCTCTTGATTGCTCAATAAAATACCACATCATATTGGAAAAGGTCAGACTGTCACATCGAGTAGCTATGTTGGTCTTTGTAAGTGCTATGGGAGAAATAGTTTTCAGTGCTGCATGTTTTGGCAAAGTGTTTACTGGGCGATGCCGATGACTCCACAGGCCAGACGTCCACCAGCATTGCCTGTCTTTAGACTCTCATCATTGCCTCCTTTTCCCAGGTCGTCGGCCTTCTCATGGATCTAATCACAGGACAGAAAGCTCAGTTAGAGAGGTTGTCATTATAAACAATTTAAAGCCTAGACAATTAAATCAAGGTGCCATAACGCTCTCTTCCTCACCACCATGGTTCTGCCAATAATAGAGTATTGGCCAGCAAGGGTGATCATCTTGTCCATGATGTCGAGCTTTGCAACATTATCAGCTGCAGCAGTCACATTCCCCAGGTCTCCAACATGCCTAAACACAAAATGTTATTACTTTAAAAAAACGGTTTTTTTAAAAGTAGGTTCAAGATTAAAAATATTGACCCTTCAGACAAATCAGTTCATCTCTACCTTTCCTGCTATGACAAGTCAAATAACAACTGACAAAAGGTCTTTGCTTTAAATATCTTTTGTAACCGAAGACTGTTTCATGCATGCTACAAACTACACCTATGGTTGATAATCTTTGTGCATTTAAAAACAAGATCAAATAGTTGCTCAGGATTTCTTTTTTTCCCCAACACTAGTTTTATTTTTTATAACAGAGTGATAATGATTTTATATTGTGGCAGTGGGTCTTCTATGCACGTCTTCCTCTCTCCCCTTGAATTTTGTTTGTAAGGTGAAAAAGTGAGACGTAAAGCTATGCTTGCAAAGCCAAGCTTTTCCACTAGTATAAATAGGACAGGGATAAGTAAAAATAATTTAATCATGCTTTGCAGAGTAATTATTCATTTTCTGGGAGAATAAAAAGAATCATTACCTATTTTCATCAGTAGGACCGGCATGAGTCTTGTTGTGGGGATTGAAGTGAGGGCCTGCACTGATGCACCCTGATGAAACGGAGAGAACGAGGGGGAAATAAAAAAACATTAACCACTTCTAATTTGTGTAGGTAAACTATTTACAGTCGTTTACCTGTTGTTGCATTAAGTTGGCAAGACCCGAAACTTCAGAAAACCTACGTATAAATAAAATCACCAGATGCTCACCGTTTGTATTGTCTCCAAAAGCATGGACATGGAAACCATGCTCACCAGGAGTAAGGCCTTTGATTTCTCCGGTCAGCTTCACAGGGGCTGAATCATTCTAACAGAGCAGGAGAACAAGAGGCATCAGGAGAATACAAACGACACAAAAGAGCCCTCAAATGCTGTCAAAGCCAAGAGGCTAGAAGGACATGAGGCTTTAGGTTGTTGCATTGAGTGTTTTGTTGATGTGTTTCTATCAGGCTGATGTCTGTTTCACTGTGAATGTCCATTTTGGCTTGTCCACGAGTCTTTGATAGAGACATAATGAACAAAATGTCTGCAGAAGAAGCTCTTTCTTACAGTCAATTGGTGTCATTATGTCTCATAACATCCGGAATATGTAAGATTAAGCACAGGATGGTTTGAGATAATGTTATAGTCAGTGCAATCCCCTCCCGTTGTCTTTGGGGTTAGGGTATATCACTTTAATCAACCCTTATACTCTAACCATGGTGGCCAAGCCCTGCTCTGTCAACGAAGGCTGGCAGTGACTCAGCAAAAATGTAATCGACGTCAGAGGACCAGCGTTTTCTTAGTAGTTTTAAAATGTGTCATTGATAGTACAGCTTTACGATGCAACTTTGCTTCTACTGCAAACAGAAGTGTGCGTGTGTAGTTCCGCTAGATAACGACATTAGTGTTAAAAACTAAAATGGCAAACGTTGGACTCATGCAACAGGCATTGTTAATAAGGTTACATGCGCTGTAGATCATTAACACAACACAGGCCTTAATACGTTCAAAGGTGGACTTTAATGACATGCTCTTGTGTTTGATGGTTATAAATAACTAGTAATTTCACTTTGTGCATGCATGGTTAACACGTGCAAGCCTACAAATAAGAAACGTTACGTTAAAGTAAGAGTTAGTTGTTGTGTGCACCTCCTTAACGTGTATGCATTGCGCAGGCTAATGTTGTCTGCATTGAATAATCGTGCGTAGTATGTATGTACATGTACAACCGATGCAAAATTAGCGATGGTTTGCTAAATCTAAACAGGTTTGACGTATTTTCAGTCAAACGTAGCTAGCTAGCAGTGTCTCTCCAGAAGACAGATGTACAGCATTTGAATGGAGAACTTAGCTAGCTTAGCATTCGCGTGCTTACAAATCCCGTTTTGTTCGACTATCTATAAAAACGTCTTCCCCTTAAAAACCACCTTGCATGGCTTACCTCCTGCTCGAAGAAGACAGTCCCGCTAGCCTCTCCAGCTCCTTTCAACACACACACCGCTTTTATAACCATGTTTGCAGTAGTTTCAAAGGACGCCAAGTTTCTATTGCTCCTGCTAGCTAAAGACAACCAACTGTTATAGTGTCAATATAGTGCGTCACGGGCGGGCCTAAAATACAGCCAATCAGAGTCGAATATAATTTAAAAGACACATTTTGATTGGTCGCTGACCAAGGAGCTAGTGTCCGGTGCAACGACACTTGAGCTGCCAATTAAGCAGGTCAACAAAAAATAAACTTATGATATACTACTTGCTTACGATATTGAATAATAATGAGGTTTCATCATGGGGAATGCTAGACTTTTTCTAGCAATGTAAGGTTTTACATTATAGTAAAAACATATTTCAATATATTTTGCTGCCGGCTAATATTTGCATACTGTTTGGCGACAGTGCATGTAGTTGTCAAATATTGAACACAAATATATTCCTTCATCATATCAGATTTCCCCAACCCATTACATTATTTATGCAGTAGTATCAATGTTTCATAAAGCTGTGGGGAAAGGCTGACAATTGGCCCATTTGAGGAAGAAAAAAGGTTGCATTGTTTCTGTCACAGAGCATGACTTTATGCTGGTTAGTACAACACTACATAACTAATGTAAATCCCTAATGGCTGGTCTTTCATTTAAGGATGAACATTTGATGTAAATAAATGTATGGGCTGCAAAGTCTGCTGTCGAACCAGCTTTTGGAATTTGAGACCTAGAGTTAAACAATTATACATTTTTATTTGACTCGAAAATCACAGTACATGTCTGGAGTGTGGCTTTTAAAAAGATCATTATGAGTGCTGATAGTTAAGTGTCAGTTAAGCATGGAATATAAATTCAACAAGCACAATTATTTGGTACAAAAATAGTTTATTAAAAACAAATTCCTGGCTGAAATATTGAAGATTGTATGTCCATGTATTTTGTGTTTTTAACAAATCATAAAAACAACTCTTAATTTTCAAACCATTAGGAGTTAAAAAAAACAAAAAAAAACGTTAAAGCAAGAGGCCTCTGTTCTTCCTTCCAAATCAATTTGCTTCAAATACAAATCATAAACAACAAATACCATCAAACCTTTGAATCGTCAGTGATACAAGCATATTTACAGCAGTGATTCACATGCGACATCTTTCATTTCTTCACTTTAGTTTGCACTCAGCGCCTCTGTGTTATAATTATTTAAGAACAAGAGTCGATCATCATGTGAGCTTCATGTTACTTAATTCATATTGGAAAAAGTATGTCTGCAGGGAAACAGACACTGACTTTGAAAATCAGAATTCAATAACAGAGTTGCATTTTGTAATTTCTAGGCTAATACTAATGTATAGCTGAGTTTGACTGACATACATAGGACATATGGAAAACTCTTCAGTCTGATCCAAGAGATTGGATATACATACACATGGGGAAATAAAGGAGAACTATTAACTTAAAGCCTATTGAGTCTGTTACATAAAATATGTGTATTCCTTAACTGAAAAGTTGTTAAATTTAGACAACAGAAAGAAATAATTATGTACACAAATCCTACTTCGTGTAGATTTTAGTTTGAAACACTGTACACTTTATCACAGAAAAATCTCTTGTATATTTGATTTGAAAAAGATCACCTGATCACCTAATTTATTTGCAAATGGTCCTCATCCTTATTTTTGCATACCAATATCTAGAGGTCCAGACCACTCACACTTTTGAACACAAAGCCCCTTTATATAACATCCTCAAATTTCTATCTACCGAAAAAATGTAATGGGAGGTACATCACAACATACCCTTTGTCTAGTTCAGATGTATGGATGGATACATGGATTTGTTGTTCATAATTTTTCTGAAATGCCTCTTGGCCCATCATTCACAATTTCAGTTTTTTCAAAGGAAAAATGATAATGCCATAACTTCAGTTCTCGGTTATGAGCCCCTAAAATGTTTGTCCAATACTTTTGTTACTAAAACAAAAAGATTATATGCACGTGAAAAGCATTAAAATACTAAAAGTGAAATCTGGATAAGAAAAGCTGGTGTATGTTGTTTCCCTAAATAATATTAGAATGAGATACGAGTTAGGGTAGACTCCCTGATATCAGTCAAATAGGACGACTGAGTTTGATTCCACAGTCCCAAAACTAGTGAGACATATAAAACATATAGAATAATGTTTTGAGAGTGGATTTTTAATGACAATGAGTGTTTGTGAGAAAACATGTGTTTGGTAGAATGAAAACAATACTCATCTTTATTCTGCCTGAAATAAAGCGTGGTTCAAGTGGTGAAGATTGGCAAAATAATCAAAAGGACACAATTTGTGTGAACAAAGTACCAAGCCTAATTCTCTGTGTAATTTACTCCAACATGTATTCCCCAAATACTTCTTTTAGTTCTTCCCTCAAACACCTACAAGATTGGATTTCAAGGCAACAAAAGTTATTTCAAAGCTGTGCCTTACTTACGGAGAAGTCGCAATGAGGAGCCAAGATGAACATTAAAAAAATAAGTGGTGCCTATATTATCATACAGCTAGTTGTTTGAGAAGATATTCAGTGTTTGACATGACATCTTGACATATAATATTTAAAAATGAACATTTTCACCTTATTTCAGGAGTGCTTGCGTTCACACAAGGAAGTAAAAAAGTAAAAATAAATGTGTCATAGAATTAATCTGTTTCTTCTGTCTGCAAAATCGACTCGAGTAAAAACATAAAAGCTCACAAAATGGACAGAGCTAAGTTAATATGCAAGCACCCAGTTAGTTTGTACAACTTGCAGGAAGAAAACAGTTGACAGCCAATATGTTACGACAGCAATTTAACCAAACTAAATGTCATGTGTGTCGAGAAACGGATGCAAAGCTAAACCTGACCATAAAATCATTTTACACGTGTTTGTTTTCAAGACGTGTCGCTAACCAGAAACTGACAATTATAAACTGTGACGATCTAGAAGTCTTATGCCAGGATTCAAGACTGACTTTCATGGTGAAGAAAAAAGAAATCTTTAGTGGTTCACAGCAGTCTGACAGTAGCAGCGAGAAGTCTATGATGCAGCTTCCTCTGCCGCTTCTGTGGGCTCACTGGGAGCCGGAGGTGAGGGCTCGAGGGGAACCGGCTCCGCTGCAGCCTTCGTTTCCTCTGAGGACGGAGATACAAGTTCAGATTCAGCCTTTTTTTCAGAAGCGGCAACACTTGGTTCTTTACTGGTCTCCGCGGTAACCACAGGAGTCTCAGGAGGTTCCTCTGTGCTGTTAGAGTTCCTTTGTTTATCCGTGTTTTCCAGGTCGGCCAATCGGTCGTCCTTGTCCCACCGGGAGGTCCTCTCTCGCCGCCTCGGCCTATCCCCTTCTTTTCCTTCAGCTCCTCTCCCTCTTTCTACCCTCCCTCTGTCTCCTCCCTCCGCCCTCCCTCGTTCCTTCTCCCCATCTTCCCCCCTCCCTGGCTCCCTGTCTCCATCCAGGCTTTTCCGCTTCTCCCTCCAGTCCCGTCTGTCTCGATCGCGGTCTCTATCACGGTCTCTATCACGATCTCTGTCCCTCTCCCACCCCCCCTCCTCCTCCTCCTCCTCCTCCTCCTCCCTCCTCCTCCTCCCCCTCCTCGCTGATCTGCTCCGTCTTCCTGCCAGCCTCCGAGCCGGTCCCTTCCTTCCATTCTATCTCCTCCTCCTCCTCCTCCTCCTCCTCCTCCTCTCCCTCCGTCACCAAAGGGACGCCTTCCACCTCCAAAACCTCGATCCCTCTCTCTCTCTCTCTCTCTCTCCCTGTCCCGATCCCAGTCCCTCTCTGGCTCCCTGTCCCTGAATCCAGGCCTGTCCCCCCTGAATTGTCTCCCATCCATTTCTTCCGGCCCCTCCATGCCACGAGGTCCCCCTGGTCTAACGAAAGGAGGAGGACCATGAGGAGGAGGACCGTGAGGAGGAGGGCCGTGCCCGTGTGGAGGGAAAGGGGGCCTCATATTGGGGGGAAGAAGCATCCCAAAGCCACCTTTAAGGGGAGGGGCGTCAGGGTGCATCATTTGAGGGTGTGGACCTCTAGGCATCATCTGTGGGAGCATATGTGGCATGTTGGGGTGAGGGGGTCGCTGGCCGTGGGGTGGAGGGAACCGCTGCATGTGTGGTGGAGTGGGAACCGGCGGACGCTGCAGTGGCATTATACCGGGCCGTGCGCCTAGCAGACCACCAGAAGGGGGTTGGATGATTCCTGGAAGAACCCCTGGAGGTCCACCTGATAGGGAAACGATACAACAAATGTAAATGTCAAATATAAGGCAGGAGGGAGCGCATGTTAGTTTTAAAATGGGCAGGGCTGAATGAGAGACCCAAATAACTTTGCGTGAAAAGTTCAAAGAGAAAGACAGACTGACCCATAGGTCCCATCTGGTTGTTGAAGATGTTGTGACCATCCGGGAATTCGTCGCTGTTCCTGTTGCCCAGACCTGCTGGGTCCATAGAGGGGTCTTCAACTCCACCTTTGGAGTGAGGTGGGAGACCATGATGAGGCATGGCACCTGGGGGGTGGAAACCTGGGGGAGAAGAGTGGAAGGATTTAGGGTTTAGTTGCTTTAGGCTGGTGTACAAACTGTGTTAGAGTCGATCGTAACTAAACTGGATGAAAAAGGTTGAATGGTGTGTTTTCTTGATGAGATTTACAAATATTTTTAAAAAAGCAGCATCTTGCGCTTGCAATCTAGTCTTAGTATTTATGCAGTTTAAAAATGATCAAAACACACACACTAGATATTACAGTACAATACAACTATTTTTCAATCTGTTTCTTTCAGAGCTCTGTGTGACACCAGAGGACAGAGATAAACACATAAGGAGTAGTAGAGTACTGAATGTTGTGCTTTCAGTACTGACACACATCCTTTGGGAATAGCACTGTGGGAGAAAGAGAGAACACTTGAATGAAAGCCAGTGAGAAATGCTTTGACGACTGCGCTACCTGGAGGCATCTGCATGGGGTTGAAGCCAGGTCGGATGAAGTGAGGCGGGAGGACGCCTGGAGGGAAGGAATGGGGAGGCATGCCTAAGGGCCCAGAAAAACCTGGAGGCTGGAGGGAACCCACACCAACCACCGGCTGCTGCATTGGAGGAACCTGAGAACAATTACAAGCACATGTCAACTGAGGAAGTATTTTGTTACATCTCCCTGTGTCGCTCACAGGAGCTAAGTAACCTCAAACAACTGCAAAATAATCATCTGTATAAGCTACCACTTGTACTATATAGCAGCTTGACATACAATTTGAAAAGGTGCTTTCATACATTTAAAGGATGCTATATCATGCTATATTTAAATGATATATTGTAGGGCCATACCTATATAAGGTATATTTATATGTTTCTGTTTTCAAAATACCAAACGGAATCATGCATTTTAGCCATGCCTCATTTCGCTCTATTTGCTGTTCCCCAGCCCTGTTTTTGCAGGGGCTGATTCTGTGAGCTGCAGCTGGCCACGCCCCCCTGCAGGAGAGGGGAGCGTGCTCTGATCAAGTCAGAAGAGGGGGAGAAAAATAGATCTCCGTCCTCCGTGTTTTATTATATTATTATATAGAGTCATTATTCATTTGTTTTAAAGCTCAATAAATAACAAAGAAGACCTTTGACCGGCACTTTTCTAATTTTTTCTCCGGAAGATTTAAACTTTAACGGACATCTTGACCGGCGAAAGAAAACCTAACTGAAACTCTGCCGCACGGTCCCCTCGTCCCTTGGAAGAGGCGGAGAGGTGGGTGCTTGTCATCTGCTGGTGGACTAACCGGAGAGAATGACAGTGCTTGCCTCGACGGGGAGGGATTGCATTGAATTACAGCAGCGGGAGCAAACGCTTGCCTCGGGGAGGGAGAAAAAGAGCCACAGCGGAGAATAAACAGAAGGGCAACCATGGCAACCATGCACGGGAAGTCTTCTTCGCTGCTTTTGTGGCAGACTACAGCGCCACTTACAGGCTTGGCATATGTACTACAGCGTCTCCAGCGCTTTCGAGCAGCAATGGCCGGCCGTGGCCCAACCTCTCATTCCCCTGATAGGTGGAGAGTTGGCTAATAGCCGTAATGCTACTTTACTGACGTCAATAAAGTGTTCAAATCTGGATCAGTTTTTATCAGATCCGTTGCAGCCCCTTTTTTTTAGAGATTTGGGTATGGAGGAAAATAGAGAGGGTTGTGTTTTCTGACACTTGGTGAGTTCCCTGGAACACCGGGGACACATATTCATGTATAAAAGACGTACAAAAGTGCATTTTGCATGATAGGTCCCCTTTAAGCTAGGGGCATCTTGCAGTTGTTGTTGTTGTTGTTGTTTACCTGAGCATGAGGCACAGCAGCCACAGGTAGAACTTGCGTTTCCTGAGGCGGCTGTGGCTCTGAACAGCCGTTGTGTGTGACTTCCTCCTGGATGCCAATAGTTTTCCTCGCTTCACTCCACTCTGAAAGACAGACACGATGCACACTGGTCAATGAACCATGATATGAATGTTTAAATATAGCATCAGTTTAAATGCGGGTTATTCTAGGTATTGTGGTTTTTCCAGATTCAGCATAAGAGATGATTTTTACTTTTTCTAACTTATTGAGACGAAAATGTTCAGTGTAGTACAGAAGTGTTTGAAATGTTAACAACGACCCGCTTCACATAAACTCTGCGTGGTTGCAGTATGTGCGTTTATTTGTATTTAATTACGCGTCAGTGTCTGTCGAGTTTTACCTGGTGATAAGGTGTCCGAATCCAGAATTCCTCCTTCTTTTAGCTCCTCCAACTGAGCCTCTCTGATCTTAGACCACGGTATGTAGGTGACACCCAGCTCCACGTTCCAGTACTGTTTGAAATCCGCCTTTATGCCCTTGTTTAAAGCCCAAGCAATCTGGCAAGAAATAAACAAAACATGACTCAATGAGATCATTCTCAATGTTCTCTTTGATTTGCTTTACTGAACAGTAGTCAGACTCACCTTGATGGTTTTCTGGTTCACTTTATGAGATCCTCTGCTCAGCTTCTGCAGAGCCTTGAAGGCATCTTGTCGATGTATCATAACAATATAGGCGCAGCCACGTGGAGGGATCATCTTCAAAAAGGGAGGAGAAGATGACAGGTGAGGGGGAAAATCTATTTCTCATCTTTGAATGAAACATTTGTATGGATGCGGTCACATTTGGATCAATGTAACTGATCAAAGTCCACTTACATTGATGGAGTCTATCTGCCCAAACTCCTCCAGTAAACAGGCAACATCTTGCTGTTGTGTTCTCTTGTCCAACTGGCCCACCCACAGAGTTGTACTGCAAACTGAGGAGACACAAAGTAATGTGAACATGAGCGTAAAAATGTAAATCACTTTCTATCAATATGAGAAAAATCACAATATTTGAATAAAACTACTCAAAACGTACTGCACCAACCTGAAATGTCAATATACTTGAACAAATCAAATCAAGTTTTATTTATATAGCACATTTATAAACGATTTTTGGTCGAGCCAAAGTGCTGTACATAAAATAAAAATAGCCTACAGTAGAGACACTTTACAGCAAATACAACAGCACAGATTGTTCAGAATATCAGTATGAGAAAAACGACACCCTCTGTCCTTAGACCCTCTGTCCTTAGACCCTCACATCGTACAAGGAAACACTTCCAGAGAAAAACCCACAGTTTAAAGGGAACATGGGAGAAACCTCAGGGAGAGCAACAGAGGAGGGATCCCTCTCCCAGGACGGACAGACGTGCAATAGATGCCGTGTGTAAATCGAAGAGATAATACATTTTACAGCATATAGACCGAATGTTAGGAAATGCATGTGTCTGTAATAATAAGATGAATCCACGAGGATGTCGAAGGACGAGGAACAGATATGAGCAGAAATAGATGATGACTCACTGCTTAGTGTCTCGCCCTTGGGTGGCGGGAGGCCTTTCTGCCGTCGCTCTCTCTCCTTCTCTCTCTCCTTGTGGTCCTGCGAGCGAGCGCTGGGGGAGTGGTGACGCCGGTCTCTGGAGCGCGATCGTCTGTGCCTGGATCTCCGTGTACGGGAATTAGACCGTGACCTCCTCCGCTTTGGAGACCTGGGGGGGGGGGGGGGGGAAAGTACTGCATCTCATGATGTGTTCACCATAAATAAGCACTGAGCTACTAATCTGCGAAAACAGTAAAGAATGAATAGCGAACCCTGAAACGGAAACTCAGTTGGACACATCACATCCAATTTCAGTTGCTTACCTGGAGCCTGAGTGTGACCGTCGACCATGTCTGCCATCCCTTGAAGATGAATGGTCCAAATCCATTAAAACTTCCTATAAAAAAAGGGCATGATTATGATGTAATGAAACCTTTTGAACATTCACATTTAGCCATTTCCCAAAATTCCCAGATTTCAATTATAATGCAAATAAAACGACGTTCTGGAGGTACATTTCCCAAACTAAATTAACCCCAGATTCAACATATCTTTGTATATTTGAAAGCCTACCGGTTTATGGGCAGCATTGTGGGGAGGGTATCCCCCGGGGAAGCCTGGAGGCCCAGCAGAACCAGGGGGGGACTGCCCTGGCAAAGCATGCCCCATATGAGGCACCATACCTGGGAAGCTTTGCGCTGGCGGTAACCCGTAGGCCTGGAGCTGGCCATTCGGAGGGAGAGGAACCTACAAATAGAATTAATTTTGCACAAAAAGTTGCTTTGACTTAATAAATAATATCAACAATTTAAAGGTAGTGCATAATATGGTGGTAGCAAAAGCTTACATTGATGTCGTGATAGGAAACTTATATTTGGTGGCATTTAAAAGTTTTAAGTAAAGTTGGGTAATAAAGAACACAATGATCAAATAGTTCAATGGCTGGACTGATCAGGAACGATGCATTATTTTAAAATCAGAAATGTTGGTATTCATTACCTGTTGTGAGACGTCTTGCAACATGTTGAGCATCGGAGGTTTAAAGTGCTCCATGTGCTGTGGGAAGCCTGGAGGGTTCTGCATGCTGTGAGGACACATAATACTTCATTAGCCTTACAGCTTTCAGTTCATTTTACTAAAAATAAATCAGAGCTTTCCGCTGCTTAGCTTTGCAGAGCTGCAAGAAGTCTTGCTTACAAGGAGGGCTGTGTTGACATTTCATCCTTCTTCGCCTCTTCTCCAAAGTCTGGTTCATCATCATAGTCAAAGCGGTCCAGCAATTTCTAAGAGAGAAAAAGGTAATGGTTGTAAAAAGTGCACAAAGTATGATGTATTTAACATAGTAGAGCTTGCAGACCTGTAAATTACTCATACTCCAAACACTGTCCAAGTGTCTAAACAATACAGTTCAGAGTACATTTAGCTGTTGATGACGAATGAATATAAATAAACAAACTGCTACCTTGTCAAAGGCTGCCTTCTGCTGGGCGGTTTGGGTGGGCTGCGGGGGTTGCAGGGGGGCCATGCCCAGGCCAGTGGTGATGTGTTGGGCCTGCGTTTGAATGGTATGGACAGACGTGTTTGTTTCAGGCTTTGCTGGCTGCTGCTGGAAGGTCTGGAGCATCTGTTGAAGCTAAAGTAAGAATGGAAGAAGAGTTATTAGTGAAGGTGTAAGAGATGTGCAAGCAAAGAAGTTCCAAGCACTGTGACGGTGTTCAAAGCTTATAAGAGTCGGCACTGGTACGCACACTCACCTGCTGACCCTGTGTGGACTGGAAAAGCTGAGCCACGGCAGCAAAGGCGTCAGAGTTTTGCAGCTGAGAAGTGGATGTCATGGTGGAGTTTGCCGTTACCGCAGTAACTGGCTCTTTGGCTGGAGATGGGGAAAAACCTGAGGGCAAGAAACAACAACAGCATATTGATACTGAAGTATAGCGATACTAAAAAAATGTATGCATGATGAAATATAAAAACGTACACATTTCTTTACTAAGCCAGCAGGGTATTTTATTAGTGAATGCAACAACTCAGAAACAGCTAACTTGTGATATAAAACTGGTTCAATAAAATAAATAAATAAAATTAATTGACACTTATCACCACTGCCACATGTTTACAAGCACACAAATTACCTGGGTCATCGGAGCCTGCTAAGAGTGCAGCAGCACTGCAAGAGCCAGCTGCCATGTCCAGGAGAGGCTGAATAATCTCAATCTTGAACACTCCATTTTTCTGCCACAGGTTCAACACCCGTATGATTTTACTCTATAAAGAAAAATAGAAAACAGAAAGCTCAGGATTTGTCATTAGAAGAAGCAAGACCTTTCAGGCAGTCAATATTCACACTTTGATTTGTCACCAACTCTTTATTTTCTTACCCTGTCTCCTTCTGGGCATAGGCAGAGGTTCTCAAAGGTTCCCGTTATGTTTTTGGTGAACCTTGGGCCAAACACGTCCTTGTCTGATCCAAACTGGTGTCTGGACTGTCTAACAATGGAATCCACCACATATAGGCCCGCTATCTTGTACTCAGTCTTACACTGGAGAGAGGAGAAAAAGAAAAACAGATGGTTTATTCATGTTTGGTGAGGTGAAAATGGAAAGTAACTGATTGAGGTAGGCCTGTCTTACCTTTTTGATGAACTTTTCCACAATTTGGACCACATGTTTGTAGAGCTGAGAAACAGAGAAGCAGGTGAGCATGTTATCAACCAGATATAGGCAATTTTTCTAATAAATGAGTCATTTTCAAAACAAGAAATGCCAAGTCCATTCTTACCTTCATAGCTTTGATGGCCGATTTTGTGATGGAGATCATCTTTGCCCGAGAGATTGGGGGCTTGGTGTCAATCAATGAGAATAACTACAGACAGAGGAGATGATAAGATCAGTGAGATGGGAAGGGTGATAAAACAGGAAGAAAAAAAGGTATAACAGAGAACATGGCTTGAGAAACTAGTTGCAGATTTAAACCTGACATAGATTTTTTTCTGATGCAGCTACAGTATGGTGATGAAAACCTTAATGTAACATTGCAGTGTGCTTCAAACTAATTTAATCTTCCCTCCTTTCTATTGTTCACCATTTTTAATTTTCCATCGGCTACACAACATGGACACAAGAAGACTTGCCACTCTTTCATGTGGTTTTTTAAAGTATAAAATACTCCACGGGATGATACATGTTGAGTTTTCTGAAGTGATAAGGGATGTCCAATGACAAGACACCGCACTGCTATAGTATGTTGCAATGAATATAAGAACAAACTAGAGCTGTGTGGCAACACCTTCTTAGTTGTGTGGTGTTTCTTGTTCTGAGCTTACCTAAATGGTCCTGTGCATTAGATAAATACATTTTTGACATCACTGAATTAAATGTTTGCTAATTTAACAGGTAAATGAAGCAGGTACTGACACATTCCTCAGGTGTATAGTATTATATCTAACAGTGCTCTACATTCACATAAGAGAGGAAGTAGCTTATCACCTACTTTCTCTAGCATAAACTGATATTGAAAGTGCAAGAAATGAACCACCAGACACATGCGGTGTTATAAAGATGTTGTGCAAAACAACAAATATGAAGTGTAGATAGTGTAGCCCAGCCACATACATAATTTCATCCGTAGGTTAAAATGCCATCAAAAGAAACGACAGGAACCAAAAACACTGAAAGATTATTTAACCTGCCTTTTTGACTGGACTTTTAACCCCATTACCCATCAGTCCTCGGGCCTAAGAGAAACTTAGCCTGGCATCTTCTAAACACACTGAAGCGGTAATGCATATTTTGTTTGTAGCTTGCAGCATGACAATAACATTAGTGTAGTCCATTTGCCCGTAGCATTGTTTCCAACAACAATGTTAGTAGCCATGCTCCCACAAGCTAACGTTGGTATTACCGAACTTTGTGCAAGGTTACTACTAGAACCACTTGCTATCGTTGCGTTAGCTTGCAAGTTAGCTCAACACTCTATCATATGTTTCAATTTCAACATAACTTGCGCCACAAAACTCATGCTACCTCAGTAGCCAAATGCTAAGCTAGGTACGGTGCACAAGTTCAGCTAGCTAGCCGAGCGGCCCAGTGATCAGTGCTGCTCGGCTAACTCAGAGCAACACAGCACCATGACCAGCCAGACTCGGTAACTTCTGGGTCTCTATGGTCCTTGGAGGAAGCTTACCTCATGGTTAAAGGCGTTGACGGCATCCATGATTGCCCGACACTCGCAGCCTTCCCCTTAACTCCTGTTTCCCTGCTTACAGTGATGTTTATTAAAGGAAGGGTCGGTACAACATGTCCGCTCCCGGGTAGCTAACGACAGTTAGCCTAGCATCGGTAGCTTTCGGGTCGGCGGGCACGGCAAAGCATGATGGGATCCAGTTGTGTTGTTTAAGGCTTTGTCCTCTAGGTGGCGCAGTGGTTTCAAGGCTGAAAACGTGCAGTTGTTTTCCATGGACTGTAAAAGGCAAGGCAAGTTTATTTATATGGCACTTTTCAACACAAGGCAATTCAAAGTGCTTTACAAAAAATGAAAAACATTAAGAAAATGGCATTTAAAATCAGTCTTTAAAAAGAAAAGCTAATAAAATAAACATTAAAAGAAAAGAATACATGGATAAAAGTTACAGTGCAGACTAAGATATGAATAGTTCAATTAAAAGCAGCGACAAAAAGATAAGTCTTCAGCCTGGATTTAAAAGTAGTCAGAGTTGCAGCGGACCTGCAGGTTTCTGGGAGTTTGTTCCAGATATTTGGAGCATAATAACTGAACGCTGCTTCTCCATGTTTAGTTCTGACTCTGGGGACAGAAAGCTGACCAGTCCCTGAAGACCTGAGAGATCTGGATGGTTCATCATTTAGCAGGAGGTCAGAAATGTATTTTGGGCCTAAACCATTCAGTGCTTTATAAACCAGCAGCAGTATTTTGAAATCTATTCTGTGACACACAGGAAGCCAGTGTAAAGACTTCAGAACAGGAGTGATGTGATCCACTTTCTTAGTGTTAGTGAGGACTCGAGCAGCGGCGTTCTGAATCAGCTGCAGCTTTCTAATAGATTTTTTAGTGAGACCTGTGAAGACACCATTACAGTAGTCAAGTCTACTGAAGATAAAAGCATGGACAAGTTTTTCCAAAACCTGCTGTGACATTAGTCTTTTAATCCTAGATATGTTCTTTAGGTGATAGTAGGCTGATTTAGTAACTGTTTTAATGTGACTGTTGAAACTCAGGTCAGAGTCCATGACTACACCTAGATTTCTGGCTTTATCTGTTGTTTTGAACATTGCAGACTGAAGCTCAGCGCTAACTTTTAAACGTTCTGCCTTGGCTCCAAAAACCATTACCTCAGTTTTATCTTTGTTTAATTGGAGAAAGTTCTGACACATCCAGTCATTGATTTGTTCAATGCACTTACTCAGTGTTTGAATTGGAGCATAGTCTCCTGGTGAAATGGTTATGTAAATGTGTGTGTCATCTGCATAGCTATGGTAACTTATTTTGTTGTTCTTCATTATCTGAGCCAGTGGTAGCATGTAGATGTTAAAGAGAAGAGGCCCCAAGATGGAGCCTTGAGGTACCCCACATGTCATATTTGTCAACTCAGATGTGTATTTACCTATAGAAACAAAGTTGTTTCTGTCCTTTAAGTAGGATTCAAACCAATTTAGAACTGTTTCCGAAAGTCCCACCCAGTTTTCCAGTCGGTCTAGTAATATGCTGTGGTCAACAGTGTCAAACGCAGCACTGAGATCTAATAATACTAACACTGAAGTTCTGCCACTGTCTTTGTTTAAGTGGATGTCATTGAAGATCTTTACAAGAGCAGTCTCAGTGCTGTGGTTTGGACGAAAGCCTGACTGGAACACATCGAAACAGTTATTTAAATGCAAGAAATTACTCAACTGTTGAAAAACAACTTTTTCAATGATTTTACCTAGAAATGGGAGGTTTGATATTGGCCTGTAATTGTTCATTACTGAAGCATCTAGATTATTCTTTTTTAAGAGCGGTTTAATGACTGCAGTTTTCAGGGCCTGTGGAAAAATACCTGAGTGAAGAGACTTGTTTACTATATGAAGTAGATCTGAGGCCATGCAAGGCAAAACATCTTTGAAAAATCCTGTTGGAATAATATCAAGGCAGCAGGAGGAGGATTTCAGAAATTGTATAATGTCCTCTAGGTTTTTATCATTAATCTGATGGAATTGTGTTATGGTGTTTGAATTTATTTTAGGTGGACACGGAGAAAACATTTGCTATACCTGATGCAGAGGCACTGACTGCTTGTCTGATTTTCTGAATTTTGTCAGTGAAGAAGGAGGCAAATTCATTGCAGGCCCGGGTGGATAGAAATTCAGAGGCTACTGACTGACACTGGGGGGTTAGTTAGTCTGTCGACGGTAGCAAACAAGGCCTGTGCGTTGTTTTTGTTTTTGGTAATGATGTCAGAGAAGAACGATTGTCGTGCGTTTTTCAATTCCAAATTATAAAGGCCAAGTCTCTCTTTATAGATTTCAAAGTGAACCTGGAGATTTGTTTTTCGCCACCTGTGTTCAGCTTTTCGACACTCTCTTTTTTCTGTTTTCACGGTCATGGCCTTTCTCCATGGAGATATTTTCTTGCCAGACACTTATTTTACCTTAGTTGGAGCAATGGCATCTATAACATTTTTAATTAGCTCATTTACTGAGATGTTAGCAGGGGCAAGTGTGGAAGAAAAATTCTGAGTAAACATTTCCCTAGTGTTTTCAGTTAAATATCGCTTTGTGGTTACCTCTTTTTGAACATTTTTGTGAACTGAAATAGAGCTCTCAAAGAAAACACAGGAATGGTCAGAGAGTGCAACATCAGTCACCACAACCTTAGAGATATTCAGACCCTTTGAGATAATTAAGTCCAGAGTGTGCCCATTATTGTGCGTGGGCTCCGTCACATGCTGAGTCAGTCCATAGCTATCAAGAACACAAAACAGTTATTTTGCCCCTCTGTCCTGGGGGTTGTCAACATGGATGTTAAAATCACCAACAATGACTAGACGGTCAAAGTCAATACACACTATAGACAGCAGTTTGGTAAAATCATCAAAAAAGCTTGCACAGTATTTGGGTGGTCTATAGATATTTAGGAACAGAGCTCGAGAGGAGCATTTCAGCTGAAGGGCCACATATTCAAAAGAAGCAAAGTTCCCATAAGATGTCTTCCTGCATTGAAGGGAATCATTGAACAGAATAGCAACTCCACCCCCTTTCTTATGCATTCTTTCCTGACTCATAAAACTAAAGTTGGGAGGGGTTGATTCGATAAGAACAGCTGCACTGTTATTTTGTTCAATCCAAGTTTCTGTTAAAAACATAAAATCGAGATTGTGCTCAGTGATAAAATCATTGATTAAAAATGTTTTTCCTGCCAAAGACCTGACATTTAATAAAGCTAGTTTAAGTTCGTTAAACACACTATCAGTCAGGTTTTTTGTAACAAGCTGTGGCTGACATGGAATCACTGCTAAACTGTAAATAATGGCCTTTTAGATATGTGTGATTTTAGCCACCACATCCTCCAAGACTTGTTATACTTTAATTCCCAGTGACCCTTGCATATTCTGTTCTCTGTGCATTACTTTTTTTTATAAACAAAACAGACTTCTTGCAATCTTATATTTTACCCACTTCCAGATATCAATCAATAGTACTGCAATACCTAGTATTCATATTACCATCAAGTCAACTTGGAAAACCAAGTTAGAGTATTAGGTAAATTCTCCTTTGGTAGTGGTGTGATGCAAGTTAATATGATAGGTGCAACATTTCCAAATCAACTCTTCTAAAAGTACTTTGAATTCAACAAAATGTATTTCCACATCTTGAATCAACTCAGAATACAACTCGTTTTCAAGTCATAAGTAAACTATAGAATTAATGAAAATAAAGAATGAAAGCATTCAGCAGGACTGCAGGCTCACTCAAATCTCAGTAGCATTTACTTTACTTCTTGTAGTACCACGTGACTCCAATAGATGGTGGTATACTCATACTTTTGGTTTCATGTCTGGTTGTCTGGTTTGGTGTCTAGAAAGCATGGTCCAGTAGTTAAGTCAAACTGTACTGAGTACACATGTATTCTTCCCAATCTCTCCATGCAGGATCACAAGGGGTGAACATAATGGAGCACACCTGTATATTTAATCTGATGCAGTAACACCAAAAAACCAGAGTCTGATAAAACACCACAGAGTTTGGAAAACTCATGCTTTAAATTGGTAGTACAGTATATTGTAAGGCTGTTATTGGATTTAATTGTCAGGTGTGTTGTTTTTTTGCACCTGTAGGAAAACAACTAACATAGGCTAATTATATTAGGTCAGATTAAAATTATCTGAAGCCTAATACAGACCAAAAAAACCAATCTGTTGCCCCTCCCTGCAGGTGTTCTCCTCTGAGTGATAACCACCATGTTAATTAGGCCAGTGAACACCTCAATGAACGAATGGAAAATTCTTCTTTGTCTGCTCTGTTGTAGTGGAGCAACACATGTTAGCAGAACATCAACACTCCAACAGATAAACAATGAAACAGGTCAATAGCAATTATTGGACACCATTATTATATTATAGTTATTATTATATTTTTTTGTATTAATGTTATTATTATTATGAATTGTCAATATGTATTGCCACAAGATGACTATGACATTGTGATCCATGTTATTAAGGGGTGCGTAATTCACAGTACATGGTGTGAACATGTGTACCCTTTACGCACAATTATATCAAAATAAAACCTGACAATAGATCGACAACTTACGACATATACAGCCATAAATCATGTTTCAGAAAATACAACAACAAAAATCGTAATATTTGTTAGTCACAGTGTTGTTGTGTCTCTTTTCCTCCAACAATATCTTTGTTCATCGCTGTGTACAATCTGAGCGCAACATGCGGCGCGGTGGTACCGGGTGGAGTCATCCCCCTTGTTCTCACATGTGCTCCGCCTGCGTGCGTTGATTGGATTGCAATGTACCCCGGCTACCACCACTGTATGAGGGGCTGTGTGTGTTTTTTATCACCCGTAAGAAACGCCCACCCATATGACCGGTAAAGTCAGTTCAAACTGAAAACACGCTGCCTGCACTCAGACTATCCAGGAGATGTATGGAGTAGGGACGATACCTCTGACTGAGCTACAGCATTTAAAAAAAACCCTATTAGAATTTAAGTCAGGTTGCGTCATTTAAATATCTTTCCATGAATGAATCTGACATTCGTCTGTGTCATTTCAATCCTATACATTTATCAAGACCTGTATTGGAATCTGCTGAGTGCGCTCACTGGATGCTTTGGGCGAACAGGTGGCGCATCTCCAGTTCCCTTAATTTGTTATT